TCTTGTGTGCCTGGGAAGGAAGAAACCAGAGAAGGAAGCAGGTTAATTTTGAAGTCTGAATAACAGTAGGCAGCCTTAACAAACTTGTCCTATGCAGTGACCCCAGAAGGCAGGCCTAATGCTGTCTCAGCCCTGAAGCACAGCGGAAGAATTTCTCAAGTGTTAGTGGTGACTGGCGCTCACAGTTGACTCCCTGGTTACAGGGAACTTGATAGTGGGCCTTTTGCTGGTGGCACACAATGGCAGGCACGTGCCAGGTACAAAAGGGATGTAACCAGTAATGAGGCTTGAGTCACAGCACCGTGGGCCAGCTGGACTGCTTGCTGGCTGGAAGTCAAATGCAGGTCTTCCTAGAGGTGCCTAAGGTCACACATGGGATTCTGAGAACCACGCTTGGCTAGCCATTCTAGACACAGGCAGGGGCTGGAGCTCCATGGGGTTCTTTTCTTCCCACAGCAAGTCAGGAAAAGAATTCAGCCAAAATGTCAGCAGCACCAGAATTTCAACAGACATGAGCTCCGAGTTAGGTGTCTGAGGGAGGTGTGCCTTGCAAGGCTAGGCACTGGCAGGTTCTCAGCAAACATCTTCAGACCAAGTAAGACAGCTGCCTGGGAGTCACAAAGGCTTAATCATTTTAATAGGCATTCAAGACATGCTTCCTGCATGCCAAGGTGCCAAGTGCTGGAGGATAAAGACGTGAGGCATTGCCTCAGCTCCCAGGAAGCCATGATCAGGACTGAACACTGACCAAGCACTTGAAGGCACAGGTACTACACGACTAGGAAGCACAGGGCATCAGAGCTCTCTGTTCACAAGGAAACAGGGCTCAGAAAAGGTTTCCTAGAGTCTGTGTCTGCCTCAGCTGGGTCTTGAAGGGTGAGGAAGCCTTAGCCCCAGGCAGTGGCACAGAAAACACGAACAAAGGACAAAGGCACCAAGCACAGAGATCCTTCTGAGTCTAGGCCAGTGAGTATCTTTACGGTTCAGATCGAAAACCAGTCTCAGGTGGAGAGATGACTCAGTTGGTAATGTGCTTGTTATCGAAGCATGAGGATGTAAGTGTCCAACCCGCCAGAATCCACATTAAAGGCTGAATGTGGCAGTACATACCTCTAATGCCAACACGGGAGGCTCAGTGGGGCTCACTGGCAAGCCCCAGGTCCCCATGAGAGAGACTATCTCAGGAGATAAGGTGGAGAGCAGTTGAGTGAGACGTCAAATGTCGACCTCTGGCCTCCACACACAGGAATTCACATGTACCTATATGCACACCCACAAAGGGGAGACAAAGACATTTACAGTCCAGTTCACAGGCTCCAAGGAGCCTAAAGGCCTGGGATTCACAGAGCTGTTCACAAAGGACCGTGTTCCTGTGTGCTGAAGGAGCCCAGAAAGACAGAAAAGGACTCCAGGCAGGAGTATATCCCACAACTCAATTCTTCTAAGGGTCCACAGGCTTCCAAGACAGGAATGCTGTGAGGGCCTTGCTGGGGAAGATGGAAGGTAACTAGAGAACAGAGACAAAGTGATTCAAGGTGAGGCTGATGGGATGAAGGGAAGGCCTTTGGTGAGACCCAGACAATGAGTTACACTTAGAACAGTAAACCAGATTTTATTCATAATGGACTCACCTATCAGTAAACAACCAGAGTCTGAGCGTGTGGAACCCAATTAAGCAGTCACATACCTGTAATCCCAGTGCTCAGGAGGCCGACTCGGGAGCATTAGGAGTTTGAGGTCAGCCTAGGCTACGTAGTGAGAGCCCATTTTAATATAACAAAACCAAGCTTGGAGATAGAGTTCAGTGGCTAGAATACTTTCCTAGCACTAGGCAGGAGGTCCTAGGTTCAATTCCCAGCACCACAAGACAGACGGCTGAAAAATCAGGCAGGGCAGAGTTTCAGGAAGTTTGGTGGTCTGTCACTTGCAAAGGAAATGTGCCAGGCTGGAGGGAGCAGTACAGAAAAGTGCTCTGAGGCTGTGGGCGGACAGAGGCTCCTGTGGCAGGACCAGTTTCCCGTTACCCATGCGGCCCCACAATACAGAAGACTGGAATGGACACCACAGGCTTGGCCTCATGGCTGTCTCTAAGGCTGGCTACACAGAAGCTGGAGGCCTTCAAGGAAGGCAAGGCAAGCTCCAAGTTCTAACCGTGAGAATGCCAACCCATGGTTTAGAGGACAATGGGCTCTTCTGAGCTAAGCAGCATCCAATCTAGAGGTTCCACAAAAGGTAGCCAGGAAAAGCCCCTGGAAGGCAATGGGGCCAGGGAAGGTTGTACGTCCAGCACTCAGGAGCTCCCCTTTTACTCATGAGAAACTGGGTCTGACAGGAACACAAAGTCCATCAACTCACTCTACTCTACCCGGAAAGCGGCAGGCTACAAACCAGCCTCCTTCCTTAAGTTAGTGTCTTAAGGACATAGTATCAGGAGTCTGTATGTACAGCCCAACTTACCTCCCAGCTTAAACCCACTCGGGAACATTCCTCACTCTTAAGCCCCATGTACACTCTTTGTTCCAGCCCAGGAGACATTTACCCAGTGTCTGAATGGCACCTCTACTCTCCAAACCCAAAGCCTTATTCCTCCCTAGCTTGTCTCTTTCTGTATTCTATGCACTGCAGCCTTGGGTTGCCAGCCACCCAATATCCTCCTTCTGCCCTGGCTCTTGCCATCCTGGTAGCTGCTTGTCTCAATTTTACCCTTCTGTTACCCTGGAGGTAACCTCAACTGTCCCCACACTCAGCACAGTGGCCCTTGTGATTTTAGAACACATTCATCCAATCAAGTCCCTCACAAGCCACACTCTTCCAGAAGCTTCCAAATGTCACTCAATGCTGTGTCCACAGCACACATATGGCATCTACTCATACAAATTCATTTTCTTTCTTTTTTCCCTGTAGTACTGGGGATTGCGCCTAGGGCCTTGGGCATGCTAGATAAGAATTCTATTGCTGAGCAGCTTTCCCCACCCCTTTCTGTTGTTTTGAAACAGAGTCTTGTTCTGAAGCCCAGGCCGGCCTAAAATTTGGTCCTCCTGCCTCAACCTCCCTACTGAGATTATAATTACATTCCACCACACCCAGCTCATTCCCTCCACCTCAGGTCCAGGGCATTGTACACAGGGCCTCGCATACACTAGGTAAGCACCGTTGAAGTATGAATTCAATAAACACATATTGGAAGGAGAGTAAAAATTTCCCAGATAATGAAATTCAGGTTTGTTCTCAGTAGAAGGCCTGAGGGCTTTTAAAAAATATGATCTCCGTTTAAAAGGTGATGGCCGCAACAGCCACTGAAACAGCTGTTGCAAGTGGTTTTTTTCTTCTACTTAGAGTTGTCAAAACAGAAAAGGTATGCTCAGACAGGGAGAACACTGAACAGGGCAAATGTTAACTGTCTTTACAACCCACTCTCTGTGCTGTGTACTTTAAATGAGAAACCACGCAAAGGCAAACACTTTACTACGCCTTCTGAGGTTGGCTCCGTCTCTAATAAGGATTAGGAGCAGGGCTGTGTGCCCAAGGTCACTGAGACTTGCTGGACAGTCCTGGCAGGTGTGGTTAGTCAGAGCTAGTAAGGCACACACGCCGGTGGACTTGCAGTCGCAGGGAGGTGAATTCAACTGTTGTTATGAAAATCTTGCCTAGATTACTAGATTACTTCTGCAACCCAAAAGGTCACCCTTGATCCAGTTGCAGTCACCAGGTGACGTCTATCACTCAGAAAATGGCTTCTTTATTCCCTCCAACAACCACTTAAGAGAGTGCTTGGCCCACTGAATGCCAGCCTGTGGCAGAGCCACGACCAGAGCCAATGCGACGCCAGGCCTATTCACACAAAGACCAGATTCTACCTACCCAGTCCGTCCCACAACGTCTTTATCTGAGTGCTGAGGAGATTAGGTGAGGATTAATCCTCAGAGTAAAGGACTAAGGACTCATACCACTCAATATGAATGATCACTATCAAACATTTGAAATGTCTTGGTCATTTGTCATCTGGGTTGGTCTGGACACCACCTGGAGCAAGAGCTTGAGAGAGCATGAGCACACTCAGCTCCACAACTCCGGGAACATTTACAAGTACCTGTGGAAGGAGAGTCCTTGACCCCAAGTAGACTAAACGGCAACAGGCGCCAAATTATGGGACAGTTGTACAAACTGCCTAGAAGTCACCTGCTGGTCTTCCAGCAGAACACGGTGACATGAGGAAAATCATTTTGAGCCTCTACCCGCTTTGGATAGACACAACCGTACTGCCATAAAAGTCAATTGCATATGACCCAGTTGGTTTAGACAACCTTTGGCCCCTAAAGTTGGCTCAGTGAGCCTTAACACAAGAAGACCACAACTGTTTCTGAACTGTGGCCAGGCAGCCAGCATCCGTGCAGACTGACTCCTGTCATGGGAAGCCCACCCCGCACGGTGCCAACTCTGCCCTCCAGCTATGTTATTCAAGACTCCAGAAGCACAGGGACGAGCTAAGGCACAGGTGACACAGGCGACCCAGGCAGGTCAGGGATACTCGCTGGAAGGGGCTCTTAGGCTGGGAAAGCACCTAAGCGTCAGGTGGGCAGCTGTGTCAGCTTTGGCAAGGGAAGGGCCTGAATTGTTGCAGGTCTTCGAGAAGGGCAAAGGTATATGAACACAAATGCAATTTCAAACAAATACAGAAAGAGAATTTCCTATTCCGCAGAGACGGAAAGTGCCCCAAGGGAAGGCTGACACGGAGGCAGTTCTTTCCCACGGCACAGAGCCGAGAGCAGGCAGCGACGACCTAAGAAGGCCGGGCCTGCCCAAAAGGATCTGACACCCTGGCCCGCCTCACGCACCAAGCTAGGGAGCACCAGCCTCCGGAGCCCCCTAACACGCTGCGACCAAGGCACCAAGCACCGCCCGTGTCCCCTCTCTGTCTGTCCGTGCCGCCGGTCAGCGCGCGATGACAGTGACACCCCCACACCCCACGTCCAGCCGCCACGCCCCCGCCGCGCACCCACCTCGGCACCAGCACCGCACCGCTCCCTCCAGCTCTCCGCTGGACCGCGCTGGCCTTTCTGCGCACGCGCGTAGGCGGCCCCGCCCCACAAGCACGCGCTTGCGGGCTGCCCACCCCGATCGCCCCGCGTCTCAGCGCTGCCGGCTCTGGGCATGCGCGCTCGCGTCCGGCGGCGGCCAAGTCGGGAGCATGCGCTAGCCAAACAGCGGTTCCCGCGCTCCGGGGCGGGGGTTTGCCTAAAGAGGTGGGGGCTCTAGCGCCTGGAATAAGGCAAAGTCATGGGCATCTGGAGCCCCGATGGCTGCCCGTGGAAGTCGCCGTCTGGCCCGGTTACGTGTGGATCCGAACTGCCCGTTCGTGACATCCAGCCGGTAGAGTGTAGGGCTTCTAGCTAGGGGCGGGACCTGTGCCAAGGAGCTTGGAGGCCAAGACTAGGAAGATGCTGCAAAGAATGACAACTGGGTGGACCCCAGATATGGGGACAATGGGACAAGAAAGAGGTGGGAAGCAGGCAGAGATGCAGCTGCGGATGGAGACACAAATACGTGACCGGCAGAGGCAGGCCAGAAAGGACACGGGGACAAGATCCACGGTGTTGGACAGTCATCCTTATACGAGAGGAGCCCGCAGGACTCTTTGCAGATCTCGGTTGGAGGCCGAAAGGTCGCTATCCTGACTGTGAGGTTGTGCCACGACCCCCACAGCGGCGTACAGGCGTCTATGGGAAGGTCGGAGGACTCTAGTGTATTACAGCATCGGAGAGTTGATGAATCACACTCGTGTGATGCGCTCAAACCCTAGAAGGATCCTAGCATTCCCTGGGAGCGGGGCTGTTCACAACCTTTAAGAGAAGTCGGGTATCAGGATACGCCTTGTAGTAGGCAGCCAGGGTGATGAGATCACGGTCCTTTGAGGGTGACGACTGCTCTGGGTGCCTCCTGGTAGCTCTTAGGGGCCTTCACATACCTTTGTGTTGGGGATGGGGCGTCACCAAAGAAGTTAAAAGATGTGATGGGGAGGAAGGGGGAAATTAGAGGGCGACGCACGTGACACTTCCAGCAGGACGCACTGATAAACACACCCAGAGATAAGAGCAGTGCGCGCCCTGTCCACGCCCAGCTCGCAGGTTCAGGCGGTCCCGCAGCGCCCCCGCCGCTCGCGCCTCTGCATCCTCCGGAGGCGCCGAGTCCAGGCGTCTCTCCAAGGCAGCACGAGGCTTCCACGGGCTGCGCTGAGCCCGGGTCCCCGGCCCGCTGTGCTTCCAGCTGCAGCCCCGGACCCGCCCCCCAGCAGCAAGTAACGCCGGCCGGGTAGGAGGCGCGGGCAACCGCAGGCGGCGTCTAGGGTTGGTACCCACAGCGCGTTGCTCCCGCGCCGAGCGCGCTCCTCCCCGCTGCGGAACACAGCAAGCACTGCTACCGGAAAGCGTGTCCACGCGCCGCGGGCCTCGCCGCGCGCACCCACTGACACCTGCACCGCTGGGGAGGGGAGAGGGCGTGAGAAAGCGAGTCAGGTGGGGTAGGGCGGGAAGGGACTGTGTGCAGAAGCACAGAATACCCACCCGGCTTAGGAAGGACATAAAGAGGTCACCCACTAGAGGGAGGTACATTGAAGATATAGCTGCTGAATGGGCGGAGCCAGCATCAGTGGGAGACCCGAGGAGAGGATGAGGCTTGAAGTACAGCCAGGGTTGAGGAGTTGGGGGGCGAGATAGAAGGGCTGAGGTGAGGCAGCCTACCATAGTCCTTTCGGCAGAACTTCTTCAGGCTGATTCGATAACTGCCACGCGCAGGTCTGCAATGTGACTCACAGTCTAGGGGGAAAGGGTGGAGGCTAGCGGAGTTCCATGCCTCTCCCCCATACTGGTCTCCTATAGCCCCCTTCTCCAAGGTCTGGGACTCCGGCGTCCACTCACCCTGTGGCTCCACAGGACTGCTTTCTTCAGTGGGTCCAGGGACAGGGGTCTCTAAGGAGTGTGGGAGAATAGTCTGTGATGGGGTGGCAGGGGCATCTGAAGGGCTCAGGGGACAGATAGACAGCAGTAGTTGATTGCTTTGGCTGAGGTGACTGAGACAGGGCAGGGTCACTCACTAACACAGGGCGCCACAGGAGACCGGCTCTGCTGAAAACCTGGGGCACAGCGGTTACAGGTGAGGCCAGTAACACCATCCTTACAGGGACACTGGCCTGTGGTCTGGTTACAGGTTTTACCAGCAGCACCAACTGGATGGCAGTCACAAGCTGAGGACAGAAATGAGGGACTGGTTCAGGAGTGCGCCGGGGTTCTGGGGAAGTAAGGCAAGAAGGCATGCGGGTGGCAGGCTCACCTCTGCAGGCACGGCGGTCACTTAGGACACGGCCTGGGTCACGGTAGAAGCCCTCCCGGCAGTAGTGGCAGTGGCGACCAGCAGTATTGTGCCGGCAATTGAGGCACACACCCCCACTGCGGCGCCCAGACAGTCGGTACAGCTCCATGTTGAAGCGGCATCTCCGAGCATGGCCATTGCAGGAGCAAGCTGCAGGGAGGGATCAGTCAGGAGCAGCCCTGCCTGGTCAGAAGTCCCCAGGCTACCCTCCAAGGCCTCACCAAGGCAAGCGTGGGCTTCCTGCCCTGTAGCCCGCTGCCATGGCCTGTCACAGTAGAAGGGCTTGCAGCGGCTGCAATCAGGGCCCTCTGTACCATGCTGGCAGTCGCAGATCAGGTGGCCATGGCTGTCCAACAGACACCGTGAGGCATGGCCATTGCACTTGCATCGACCTCCCACCTGGAGCTCAGTGGCTGAGTAGGAATAAGGGACTGTGACCTCCCGGTCCCTCATGTCCCCCAGTGTGGCAGGCCTTGTGAGTAATATGCGAATATCTGTGGCAGTCACCCAGTCTTGGAGCACGGGACTGTTGTCCAGATCCAGGCCCTGCGGGCTGCCATCCTGCACACTGAAGGCCAGAAGGCCTCCACCATCAGGCTGGGCCTGGGGGGCTGGGAAGCAGAGGGCTTCTGGCCCTGGACCAGCAGGGCCATCAACAGGAGCAGGCGGACGGCCATAGTCCAGGCTACAGCTGGAGGAGAAGAAGCCCAGGGGGACCCAGCTGCGGCCATGGTCCTGCGACTTAAGCAGGGCCACGGAGGTTGGGGGAGCCGAGCAGAAGCGTAGGCTCACGAAGACCAGCTCAAAAGCCTTCCCCAGGGGCACCGTGAGGGTTACGTTGAAGGGTGACCGTTGCAGCAAATCGGAGCGCCAACAGAGAGGACTTGCAGTGCCCGGAGCAGAGGTCAGGAGGTCTGCAGAGTGTGCCCGCTGCGGGTCCGAGGAATCGCAGACGCGATTGGCCGGCCTCCCGCACGTGCTGGACGCCAGCACATCTCGGCCCAGAGCAGCGTTCACTAGGCCCGGAATACAACAGCGGGGTTCACCCGCCTCATCATAGCAGGGGTCGGCTGTGGCCGGCATCCCTGGGCTCAATGCGGCGGAGAGCGTGCCTGCGGTCAGCAGCAGCCCCCAGGGCCAGGTGGGCATGGCCGTGGCCGCTGTGGTGACCAGCCAGCTTCCGCCCAACGATTCTGCCCTCGAGGAGAGAGAGTCTAGTCCAAGACTCTGCCTGCTGGATCTGCAGTGCCAAGATAGCAGAGCCCCCGGGCGGCCCCAGCACAGGCCCAGAAGTGGGAGCAGCCACGGGCACGCCCGGGGCCAAGCACAGCAGCAGGGATGTTGGCGAGTCCTTCTGCTAGGCCTGGAGCGTTGACAGGCGTCGCCCCCGCTCCCGGTGCCTCCGCCAGCGGAGGCCCCACCCGCCGCCGGCCGCCAGCACTCACCCACGGAGGGCCAGGAGGAGCAGGTCTCCCGGCCTCCCGGGAAGGGCCCTGGGCGGGCGGGGCCTGGGGCGCCGGGGCTGCCGCCTCCTCCTGGCTGCTGCAAGGGCGGAGGAGCTGTGCCAGAAGTGGGTGGGGGGCTCAGCAGGCGCGAGCCTGGTCCTAGCCGGGGGCGGAGCTGCTCGGCCCGGGAAGGAAGGAGGGGAGGGGGCCTGGTCCCGACAGCCAGAATCAGAAGCAGATTCAGACACAGGCTGGGGCCAGCGCGGGAGGGGGCTGGGAGGCCCGAGAGCCGGGGGAGGGGCTGGAGAGCCAGGAATGCGCTGACGGGAGAGGGGGGGGGGGCAGCGCAGCCTTGCAGTCCGTGAGGGACCACCCAGCAGGGTCCTCGGCCTGAAGCCAGGCTTTGGCTGCTCCTGGGGGGGTGCCACGTGCTGGGCTGGGGTCTGGGCCACTCCTCCCAGAAGCACATCATGCAGGCACAACCTTAGGTCTGAAGCTTGAAGTCTTGGATGCTACCCAGAATAGGGGAACACAGTTGGGGCTGGCGTTCTTGTAGGGTATCCCCAAGGCAGTAGTCTGTTCTAGCAGAAAGAACGCAGGTCTGATTTCAAATCCAAGCTGCTTGGATTTCTGGCTGTGTGGCCTGAGTTTCTCAGTTTCCTTATCAACCAAAATGCCTATTGCTTGCCATGCTTTGCGGAGTTGCTGGGAAGACTTGATGTGCCAACAGAGCTATCATCCTAAGCTAGGAGTTCCACTAGGGAGCACCTGGGTTCTGCTGAGTGCTGTGATCACTGCTCCTCAATGGGATCAGGCCACTCTCAGCCTAAAGCATTCCTGGGTCTCGGTGAATAGTCGTCATATGATGGTCCCATTGTCGAAGGACTTGCAAATTTGGAAAGTGGGCCGGGAGTACAGTCTATTTGCTGGCCCCTCCTTGAGGTTCAGGGTCTGGCCACCTGTTGAGGGCATGGAAAGGTAAGGGTTTGACACACGGAAAAGGGCTGGTCACAAATGAATCAGATTCAGAATCCTTGAACCTGACAGTATCCATCCTAGTAAATCTGAACAGAGAAACAAGCCTACGCCCCAGATGATTTGCCAGGGCACAGGCTGGAGATGAGCAGCTGTAACTGAGAGCCTTGCCAAGAGGAACCAAAGATGCTTTTCTTACTGCCTTTGTCCTTGACAGGCCAGGCAGAACTGGGGTTGACTCCATGAAGACTGGGCAGAAATATTGTCCCATCTTGGGGGCAGTCCTGAGGCCCAAAGATCTAGTTTCAGAAGGGAGGCTGACCACAGGCCAGTCAGTCCCTGCAGCTGGTAAAAGAGGCCATATGGGTATGCCTGTGCACTCAGAGCTACCATGGTGCATGAGTGTTCCTGACAATAAAAAAGGAAAGAAACAGAAGCGCCCTGCTTTTCAGAGAAGCAATAGTGGAGCGAGGACGCTGGGACCCTCCCAGGACAGACCAAGGGTGTGGCTGAGGCAGACCCTTGAAGAAGCAGGGTGACAGGCTGATGGATACTTGGTTTGGCCTGTAGAACAGCTGACTCTGACCCTAGGCACTTTCCCAGGCCTGCTGTGCTTACAGGCAGGAATGGGCAATGGCGGAACAGACATCGGAGAGGGTCTAGTGGCTCCTCTCTTCACCTGCACAGGCACAGAGCCCCGCCTTTCAGCTTCCTAAAGGGAATCAGAATGTGTCCTTTACAGGCAGTTATGGGCTGAAGCTGTGCTCTTCCATAGGTCAAGTTCAGAATTAACCCTTTCCCACCACCTTCTCTCTGACCACTGGTTCTCAGCCTTCCTAACGCTGTGACCCTTTAATACAGTACCTCATGTTGTGGTGACCCCCACACACCATAAAATTATTTTCATTATGACTTCATAACTGTAATTTCGCTACTGTTACAGATTTCAATGCAAATGTCTGTTTTCCCATGGGCTTAGGTGAGCCCTTGAAATGGGTGATGATCTGTGGCTTGCGAACTGCTGTTCTAGGTCCTTCTACAAACCCTCCTCATAGGCATGGGAGGAGCTCTGGTGGAGGATGGGAGAAAAGCCTCGGGGAAACTCGGGCTGGCCTCTGAACTTCAAGCCCCCTACTAGAGTCCCCAGACTGTCAGCCAACTGTGGAGGGGGAACAGCCTTTTGCTTTGTCCCCAGCCCAGCCTCCCTGTGAGCTGTGGCTTCTGGGGTCTGCAAAACATGTGCTGGATTCTGATGTGGGTGGAAGCTAGTGTTGGGCTCAGCTTTGATCAAGTCCTAGGGGACGGGGAGGGCACAGGACAGGGGCTCAAATGGCCATTGAATTGCCTTCTGCACAGACTCTGGCCCCAGGGCTACTCTTGCAGATGGTGTCCTGGGCTCTCTCCAGTCTCCAAGAGACTTAGAACTCTCTGTGGACCCAGCCACCTGTGCCAGCCCCTGACTGAGGCCTCTTAGTCCTTCCATCTCAGGGTTCCTACCCCCTCCAGGCACTTTCTGCAACAAAGAGGCTCCACATCCCCGCTTCACACCTGCAAGAGCTCCAGCTCTGCATTCTCACCCCCATCCAGTCTCAGCAGCTGGCTTTGAGGGGGCAAGGGATGATAGAGAGTGACAAGTTTCAGGCCGCAGGGAGCTGCTGACCTCTCAAATAACCCCCTACCCAGCCCAAGACCCACTGTCCGCTTCAGACACTGGCCCCCACTTGTTCTTGCCCTGAACAAACATTTACTGAGTGCCTATTATGTCTCCAGGGACCCAGACTCGGTGAAGAAGGCAGGCAGCTCCACACCCTCCTTGCACCTTTGCGTCGACTTTTGCGAACCCCCTCCCCTTCCATAGTTGGGCCAGCTCTGCCGCAACAATCAGCTCTCCCGGCTCAAAAGCATCGGTGGATGGAGGGAGGGTGTGAGGGGGAAGGGCAGAGAGGGAGGAGAGAGGGTAAAGGCTCTCTGTAGCCCTCCCTACCTCTTGAGGGTTCGAAAATAAAGTTTAGGAAGGGTCTTCTATGCCCCGACTACACTGAAATACAGCACTTTCCTTGCCTAGACCTCACTGGGAGGTGGCCCCACACACAGGCCTAGGGTGCCCCGGTCTCTCGCTGCTGCTCCGCAAGCCCAGCCCTCCGCTGCCGAGTGCACCAGCACAGAAAGGTGGCGGACAGGAGTCCGAGGCCCGCACCAAGAGCAGACAGACAACATGCTCTGGACCAGATCCAGGCAGGGCCCGCACAGCGAGAAGGTGATGCCCATGCCAGCTGCACCGGCCAGCACGGCTAGTGCGCCGAAGGGCAGGACGCAGTGTGGCCAGGAGCCCCCTGCACCGCCGGTGGCCAAGAAAAGGGTGTGCAGGGCCCCAGGGGACTCTGTGGACGCCAGGTCTGGCAGGGTGGGCTTGGGCAAGGGCTCTGATGTTCCCATGTTTCCGACTAGGTGGCCGTGATCCGGGGCGGGAATGAGGGTGGCGATGGTAAGAATGCCCACCACAGGTTACACCCTGCTCTGCCACGTCAGGAACAATTAGTCCCTGATGCCTGGGAGTTCCACTGCCTCCTCCTGGTTCTGGCAAGGAATTGGGTGGGCGTGGGTGCGTGTGTGTAATATCTAAAGTGCTTCCTCTATCTTCATGAACCCTTCACAAATACCCTAACTCCACCCAGGGCAGCTCTAAGGCTTTGAGCACCTAGAACAATCGGTGGGATACTACTGGGGCCTAGATTGGAGGAAGGTAAGAAGGTCAAGGAGTACTCAGCTCCCCAGAGGCAGGCCAGGAAGAGGACAGTGCCTTTCCCTTCTAGGATTTATAACCCAGCACCGGGGCAGGACACTGAGACAGCAGGAACCAGTTGATAGAATGATTCTGAGTAGACTGTTATGGAAAGGGATCCTAGGGAGGGAAATGACTAGTTGGCAGGGTTAAGACCTCCTCTGGATCAGAGCACTTGGGCATACACCGTCCAGGCAGCAGTGGAGTGACCGAAAAGGGCTTGGCTAGTTTAATGGGTGATTCAATAAGGGGCTGGGTGCTAGCTGGACAGGGAGAGGCAGCCTCCTCTCTTTCCTCAGATTCCTGGTTTCTGGTGTCCAGGAGACACGTCTCAGTCCAAGGATGGCCATAGTTTTTTATGTTCTACTGTCTCTCGTTCCCTTGACACCCTTGACCAGGACTGTGTCTTGACTGATTTTGGCAGGCCAGACTGACCTTTGTAAAAACTTTCTTTTCTAAGGAGGGCCACCTGCTGGTAACCAGAGCCAGCTGCTTAACCATCACCCACTCCACCCCTCACCCATACACTTTACCTGGCTCTCCACAGACATGGTTTTACTTCTTGGAACACGACCTGTGGGGCCCCTGAGAGCAGTAACTCCCGTGACAGAGGCTGTTGTCCCTTGTGGAAGGTCCCTGTTCTCTCTCTAGTTTAGTGAGGCTCCAGACCCCATCTACACAATGCTAGTGGGCAGCTCAAACTAATGCCTGGGATGTGTTAAGGACTCTTCATATATACTTAAAATCCCAATACCCGTGAGCAGAGGCAAGTGGCCGAGGAGTTGGAGACCAGTCTGAGCCACACAGTGATATCCTGCCTTGATAAGAAGAGTCTGAGGAACAGGGGCTGAAGAGATAGCTTAGTGGTTAAGAACACATACTTGATTTCAGGCAGGTTGCGCACGCCTTTAATCACAGTGCTCCAAAGGGAGAGACAGGTGGCTCTCTGTTTCAGTTCAACTTGGTCTACACACTGAGTTCCAGGCCAGTGAAGGCTACATAAAGACCCTGTCTAAGAAAACATAAAGAGCACGTGCTGATCTTCCAGAGGACCAGTGCCCAGCACACACATCTGGCAGCTCACAACAGCCTTCAACTCTAGCTCCAGGGGATTTGATGTCCTCTTTTTTGTCTCTGAGGGAACCCACACACAGGTCATACAGATACTTATTTTTGTCTGTGTGATAGTGTCTGATCCCCTGCAACTGAAGTTACAGACAATTGTAAGCTGCCATGTGGGTGCTGGGAATTGAACCTGGATCCTCTGGAAGAGCAGCCAGTGTGTTCTTAACTGCTGAGCCACCTCTCCAGCCCTGTCATACACACACAATTAAAAATAAACTAGCTGGCCGGGCGATGGTGGCGCACGCCTTTAATCCCAGCACTCGGGAGGCAGAGACAGGCGGATCTCTGTGAGTTCGAGACCAGCCTGGTCTACAGAGCGAGTTCCAGGACAGGCTCCAAAGCCACAGAGAAACCCTGTCTCGAAAAACCAAAAAAAAAAAGTAAAAAATAAACTAGCTGGCCGGGCGGTGGTGGTGCATGCCTTTAATCCCAGCACTCGGGAGGCAGAGGCAGGCGGATCTCTGTGAGACCAGCCTGGTCTACAAGAGCTAGTTCCAGGACAGGCTCCAAAACCACAAAGAAACCCTGTCTCAAAACAACAACAACAAAAAAAAAAGTAAAAAATAAAAAATAAACTAGCTGGATGGTGGTAGCACATGCCTTTAATCCCAGCATGGGGGGGGGGGGGGCAGAAGCCGGCAGATCTCAAGGTCAGCCTGGTCTGTACAGCTAGTGCCAGGACAGGCTCCAAAGCTACACAGAGAAACCCTGCCTCAAACAAAAACAAAACAAACAAAAATAAAAAAATCTGTTTTTTCTTTTTTGGATCAGGGTCTTGCTGGGCGATGGCGCACACCTTTAATTCCAGCACCATCTGAGTAGTCTGTGCCTCTACCTGGACCCTCTACAAGGGTCATGTCTGGGTCCAATTTCCCACTGCAGATGGTGTCTGTGTTGATGTCTGTGGTCTGTGTCACCTCAGGGGGCCACGGGAACAATACATGATGGAATCAAGCCATGCAGAACCAACCTTGCCCTTCACCGGATGCTGCCTAGACCTGCCCCCTCCCACCCACTCAGGAGAGGAGTTGACCCTGACAGCATGGGCTTAGGGGAGCTGGCTCCATGGGGGCAGCCCCAGTGAACTCCCAGCCAGGCCGACATCTGGACCTGGGTTAGGCCACACTAGCACCTACCCCATCTAAGTCCTGCTGGAGCTAGTGAAGGGTCTGGTCCCGGGGAGCAGTAACTGCAGGATATCCGAGAGTTTTGGAGAGGACCCAGCAATGATGGTGCAACAGAAACCAGAGGCCTTAGTGACTCACTTCAAGTAGAGCTGACTGGACAAACTGCGGCTCTCAATCCACCAGGATGGCGCTGGCGAGGCGGGAAAGATGGAGGAGCAAAGAGCTTTCTTTTTGATTTGTTGCCATTGTTTTGTTGTGTTGATTTGTTTGTTTGCTTACTTGTTTTGATTCTTAAAATTTTCTTTTGGGGGCCATTATAGGGAGGAGGGGAGAATATGGAGAGACTGCGAAGTGAGCAGAATTGGGGTGCATGATGTGAAATTCCTAAAGATTCAATAAAGAAACTATGTTAAATAAAAAAAGAAAAAAGGTCATTTACAAAAAAGTCTAGGGGATGGAAAGATGACTTAGGAATTAAAAGCACTTCGTACTCTTGTACCCAGATTTTGTCCCCAACACCCACATGGCAACTTACAATCAATTGCAACTTCAGTCCAGGGAATCTGAGGCCTTCTGACCTCTGCAGGCATCAGATAAACACAAGGTGCACATTCACACATACAGGAACCCACATACACATAAAAATTTATTTATTAAAGCCGGGTGGTGGTCACGCACACCTTTAATCCCAGCACTCAGGAGGCAGAGGCAGGTGGGTCTCTCTGAATTCGAGGACAGCCTGGTCTACAAGAGCTAGTTCCAGGATAGGCTCCAAAGCTACAGAGAAACCCTGTCTCAACCCCCCTCCCCAAAATATATTATTTTATCATATGGGGGTGTTGTGCCTGCATGTATATATGTGTACCACAATGCCCAGTGCTTACTGAGGCTAAGAGAACCCACCAGATCTCCTAGAACTGGAGTTACAGGCAGCTGTAGCCATAATGTGGATGCTCTTAACCACTGAGCTACCTCTGCAGCACCCAAAATAAAATGGTTTTTAAAACTCTGGGGAACTGAGGCTGGGAGTCCTTAAGAATCTTGCAGGAGCTGGGTGGTGGTGGTGCACGCCTTTAATTCCAGCACTTGGAAGGCAGAGGAGCATCTCTGTGAATTACGGGCCAGCCTGGCCTACAGAGCAAGTTCCAGGACAGTGAGGGGAGGGCTGTTACACAGAGAAACCTTGTCTCGAAAAACCAAGAAAATAAAAAGAATCTTTGAGAAAATCCCAAGCAAGAAATCCACGCTGAAACCCACATTCTGCCCCCTGCCCATTCTCGTCTTCCCAGGGAACTGACAATTCTTACAATAGTGGGCAAATGAGGTGACAATGCCACGAGTGGGCACTGAGCAGGACGCAGAGACCCTACAGGCTGCGACAAAACTAATACCTGATGAGTGAGGGTGGACCCTGGGATGGCTGTGGGCAGAGCCAAGTCTGTTCTGAGGCGGCTAATGGTGGTGTTGTCTTTAACAGGCTCAGTGCAGCAGTGTGCACACGGGGAAGAGACGCCAGGGTCAGTGCAGCAGTGTGCACATGGGGAAGAGACATCAGGGTCAGTGCAGTGTGCACACGGGGAAGAGACGTCAGGGTCAGTGCAGCGTGCACACGGGGAAGAGACGTCAGGGTCCCAGGGAGCAAGCGTTAATGGTTTTTCCCCTCCCTTATGCAGAAGGACAGTCATATTTTTGAAAATTCTACTTGATATATTCTTTCCTTTATTTATTTAATCTTAGACAGGGTTTCAGGCTGGCCTTGAACTTAGGATCGCCTTGCCTCAGCCTCCCCAGTGGTGAGACTATAGGTGTATCCAAGCCCCTTAATTGATAAAATCCTTAAAACCACAAAGAAAGAAACAAGAATGTGAAATTAAGCCCTACTCTGAAGCCATATAAATACACAGCTCCAGTATCATACAAGTAGCTTGTGGGCCTACAGTGAGGCAGTAATGGCAGTCAAGAAGGGCTTTCCCAGGAAGGCAGAAAGCTGAGCCTTGACCAGAAAATCTGGTGGTTATGTGGCATTGAGGGAGCACCCCGACAGCCTCCCTGAGCACCCAGCTTTCCCAGGGAAGTCACAGCTCTCTCTGTGCTCTTAGCTCCTCCAAACAGGAAAATCCTTCAATCCCTGCTCACTACACTCGAGCTGAGAGGAGGGCACTCTCCCAGAGAGACTTCTGCCCAGCCCGCTTAGTCGGCAGGGTCGTCTCGAAGAACCGTGAGGAAGTGCTCACCTCCTTCACAGAGCAGACTGTATGCAGCCCGGCACAGCGCCAGCCAAGGTGGCCCTCCTGGCTCCTGGGTGTTTATCAGAGGGAGGAGTTCAGCCATCAGAACCTGGGGAACAGTACAGGGCCAAAGCCTCAGTGGGACTCTATCCTGGGGCACTAGCCCAGGGCCCCCCAGTGGGAAATCCTGGGACAAGCTTCCATTCTCCGTTCTTTCTTTCTGAGATACTAAGCATCCCGGGCACACAATGTACTTGGAGAATGTTCCAGTTCACACGGAGACCCAGAGGCTCACAGTCACAACTTCTCCCAGGTCTTTCTCTTGAGACTGACTCACAGGGGGCTCAAGTGCCAGCCTAGTAAGGTCACTGGTTCCCGGGAACCCAGGTACACATCACCACCTCCTGCTGGCAGTACCTTTTCTAGATGGATCTGCTGGTCTAACATGGCCACGTGAAGCTTCAAGGTAGCCACGGTCTGCAGCTCCTTGGTGCTAGAGTAGAGAAGGAGCTCAGGGTTCCAGGAAGGGTCCATCTTTCCTCCACAGAGTGATGAGGCCTGGCTGGGCTTCTCCACAAGACATGGTCCTGGCAGCCCTCCTGTCACAGCTACGAGAACAGCCATTTATAGTTTCATGGGGCAGCAGTCGTCACTAAAATTTCTCTTTCCTTACAGGCCAGTACTTAGTTTTCCAGGTATCTCTTTCCTACTCTCAATTGGCCTTGGCTTTAAGGGATACAAAGTCAAGCTTTTAAAACAACCTGTAAGCTGGGCAATGGCAGCACACACCTTTAATCTTAGCACTCGAGAGGCAGAGCAATAAGATCTCTGAGTTGGAGGCCAGCCTGGTCTAGAGAGTAGGTTCCATTACTGCCTGGGCTACACAGACAATCCCTGTATCAAAAAATAAACAAGCGAACAAAACAAAACAAATACACAAAACAAAAAAACCAGCCTAGTGTGTGGCAGGCTGTGGTGTATTTGGTGTGATGGGTTTGCCTGCCCCTGGGCCTGGCTGGTGCCTACTCAGTCACAGGCAGGGCAGGTTAAAATGCCTGATCCAGTCCAGAGTTCAGTACATGCAGTAGCACCTCACCTGTCTGGAGCGCCTGGATCCTGTGGAGACACTGTCCCACAACGGCCTGCAGTCCTTCCAGCACCAGCAGGCATCGGTACTCCTGCGTCCAGTCAGTGGGGGCTACACGAGTTAAGGAGGGCAAGGGGAGTCCGTGATGGTCCCCAAAGCCTCCCTGCCATCCTTGCCTGCCACCCTCCACCATTCCCGTCAGGCCCACTGACCTGCTGACAGTGCCTTCTGCATATGAAGTCTCAGCAGTGTACAGGCCTTCCTCAGGCTCTGGGCATGAGCCTCTACTTCAGCAGCACCAGGCCTGTGGCTGGAGCAGCCTGACTGCACACTAGTCAGGGAAACTGTCCTGTGGCCACAGGTGGGTTGGGAGAGATACCACTGCCATGCCACAGTGGCCCTTTCCCAAACCTGCCAAGTTCAGAGCCACAAACCCCCGGTTCTTCCTTGCCAGTAAGGATACAGCCAGCTGGAGTTTTTGGAAGAACTGCACTTTGGCGGCTCTGGTGGCATCTGTGGAGTCACTGGCTTGTACAGCACTGAGCTGGGCCCACAAACTGGAACAGGTACAGAGGCGGCCCCAGAGGAGGAGCAAGGTTATTTTAACTAACAACAAGGGACCTTAAGAGGTAGGGGAGGATGGACAGGGGCACATATCCCTGGGTGCATGGCTTTGCAAAAGCCTCAGGGAACCTAGAGATACTGACAAAGACAAGCGGGCAGGGTAGAGCTGTGCCAAGCACGGTGCAAACGCCTGAGAGGCGCCATGTTGTCTGACCCTTACAGCACCGCTATGGAACAGGGACTGTTCCTGTCATTCCAGAAGGAAGACAGCCTGGAATTGAATGGTTGAGGGGTGGAGAGACAGCTCAGTGGTTAAAAACACTTGCTACTCTCAGAGAGGAGGACATGAGTTCGGCTCCCAGCACTCACTCACCTTAGGCAGCTCACAACAACCCGTAACTTCAGATCCAGGGGTGGATCTGACACCCTCTCCTGGTGGGGTGCCCACAGGAACACAGACACACACCGAAACAAAAAATAAGTCAAGTGGCAGGGACACAAACTTTTAATCCCAGCACTTGGGAGGAAGAGGCAGGCGGATCTCTGAGAGTTTGAACCCAGCATGGTCTACAGAGTATGTTCCAGGACATCTAGGGCTACACAAAGAAGCTGTTTCGACCGCGAGAGAGCAAAAGCAGAGAGGCCTGCTGCAGGGTTCTCTTTGCAAGTCCTAATGTTAGTGATGTTTCCCCTGTCTCTCAGTCCCCACTCAGCCTTACCGGGAATTCTGGGAAGCCGCCTTCCTGAATGCCGCAGGTAATTGTAGGAGAGTCCTGTCAGAAAGAAGCCAATGCTTGGAGCAGCCTCTTCTCATTCTAGGGCTGTCATTCTTACTCCTGGCTCAGAACCCATCAGGGCGAACCTCCTCGACCCCTCTCCGTTAACTAACTGTCTGTCTGACAGGCATCTTGAAAAGGGTTTCTGGAGTAGTATGGGTGCTGGCCCAGTCCAGAGAGAAGAAAGGGCATCAAGCACCAAGAACACACCCAAGCCATGCAGAGCCCCTCTAAAGCCCCTTGGCTGGTCAGGCTCCAGAATGACAAACCTGATGCCATCTCAACCAGTTGTTCTACCCTGCCTGCTTCATTGCGTGACACGGAGCATGTACCCAGAGCTTCCCCATTCAGCTCAACGCTCTGCTAAGATCTGAACAGACAGAACGCAGTTTCTCCAATTAGGGTCTGGGAAGCTTACCCCTTGTCTTTCAGTGTGAAGGGTTCTGTGGCACGAGGAACAGCTGATAGGGCCATTTGTTGGTCCCTGAGGCCTGGTCCAGACCCGGCAGCTTGGGATCCTGTTCTCATATGGGTCCTATCTCCCCTTGACAGAGGTCTGCCCTTGGGGTAGTCCTTGGCAGGGATTGTGGCCCGTTGTGCACCCTTGGTGGATCTGGCACCTGATGCACGGCCGCCAACCTGGCTGGAGGGATGGGAATGGGTAGGGGCAGTGGCACCAGAAGCGGCTGCATTAGATGCAGAAGTCAGGCTGGGGGTTCTGTCTCTTTGTCCAGCCTTAGACGGGCCTTTCCTCACTCGTACAGCCTTCTCCAGTGCCTGGGTCAGAAGCTCCAGTTCCCTGAGGTCTTGAGCACTCGGTGTGCATGCTGCGAAAGTCAAGAACCAGGCTTCACTGTCCCAGGACGGAGCCCCATGACAACTTGCCAGAGAAAGGCCAGGGGGCAGCACGTGGAAAAAGCAGCTGAGGTTTACCTGGAGTTGGGGCCTCTTCCTTGGTTTCTGGCTCCGGAGCTAGGGCCCTGGCTGGTTCCCTGCAAAGACAGGGAAGCTATGGCATGATCCAACCAGACCCTACCCCTCAACAGATACCCAGCTTCTGACTCTGAAGAATAAAGAGGGATAGTAATGGTAGCCGGCTTCCAACGTGTGCAGATGCACTTGGCCTTCCAGTTCCTGGGGCTCTGCATGATTCCGAGGAGGGCCTGGATAGGTCCCAAGGTCCGCGTACCAGACTTGTAGCAACCGCCTGGAAACGCGCAGGCTCCGCTCCAACTGTCGCTGCCGCTCGGCGCAAGAATCCAGGGCGCCCTGCACCTCTGCCACTATCCTGAGGACAAGCACCATGTGAGCCTCGGAACCCCGCGCCCGCCCGCACCAGTCCCTCGTGTCGCACGAGACCCACCGGCGCGCGCAGTCCGTAGGTAGCCGGTAGTCTGCTTTCGCTCCAAGCATTTTTGCCGCCGCTTCGGAGTCCCGCACCTTCCGGACAGACGGCCATCCACTTCCGGTTAGGCTACCCAATCGAGCACAGCGACCAAGACCTGCTCCGTAGCGTGCGAATCCACGTCATCATCCAGGCTCCGCCCTAATCCAGCCGGCCGCCCCCTCCCCCCCCCTTCGTAGGAATCTCGATAAGGACGCCAGGGTAGATAAGAGTGGCTCGCTTCCGGTTTGGGTAACCAGATTATGCTCATCTGGTAGGGCGTCCGTCATCACCAGTTTCTGTCTAACCTCCTTTGAAAGCAGAGATAAACTGTCTTGCTGACTCCGGGACCACTTATCAGTCTAGCATAGGGTTGAAAGATGATGTTTTAGAACTGGGTCAAAGGACAGAAAGCATGGGAACAAATGTCAGGTACCAAGAGAGAGAGCAACGAAGCCCAGGAAATCTGGAACATATGGCACCTAGATGGGTTTTCCGCCTGACAGTGGAGCCATCTGCCTAAGTTATGCTAGGTTGTGAAAGGTACAGAGATGTGATGGATAGCAGGAGGGGAGGCTTCAGCCTAGAGAATGACCGTGAGTGGTTGGTTAGGAACAGTGGGCAGTAGACCAGTACACACACTGCAGTAAGGCCTAGCAATGGTCTTTGTCTGCAAAGATTTGCCAAATCAACTATCACTTTATGCTTCCTATCCAAAGCTATTTCTATACCACCTACATTTCATTTTAAAACTCACTATGTAGACTAGGCTGGCCTTGAACTTAACAGAGATCTGCTACTCAAAGGTTGCTTATTTCACACACACACACACACACAATCAGTACATTATTCAGGATCTCATGTAGCTTAAACTGGCCTTGACTTCACTATGTACCTGAGGATCTGAACTCATCATCTTCCTGCCGCCACCTCTTTTTTTAAAAAGCAAAAACAAGCCGGTTGGTGGTGGCGCACACCTTTAATCCCAGCACTTGCGAGGCAGAAGCAGGCAGATCTGTGAGTTTGAGGCCAGCCTGGACTACAAGGGCTAGTTCCAGGACAGGTCCCAAAGCTACAGAGAAACCCTGTCTCGGAAACAAAACAAAACAAAAACAACCACAGACTCAACGCAATGCCTATCAAAATCCCAGCAAAATTCTTCAAATACTTAAGAAAGAATAGTACTCAACTTCATATGGAAAAGTAAAAAAAATCCAGGATAGTCAAAACAATCCTGTACAATAAAAACTTCTGTAAGCATCACAATCCCTGACTTCAAACTCTACTACAGAGCTACAGTACTGAAAACACCTGGTATTGGCATAAGAACAGACAGGAGGGCCAATGGAACCGAATAGAAGACCCGGATATCAATCTACACATCTTCGAACACTTGATCTTTGATAAAGAAGCAAAAAAAATATCAAATGGGAAAAAGAAAGCATATTTAACAAGTGGTGCTGGTATAACTAGATATCAACATGTAGGAGAATGAAAATAGACCCATATCTATCACCATGCACAAAACTCAAGTCCAAATGGATCAAAAACCTCAACATAAAGCCAGCCACATTGAACCTTATAGAAGAAAAAGTGGGAAGTACACTTGAACACATTGGCAAAGGAAACCACTTCCTAAATATAACCCCAGCAGTCAGACACTGAGAGAAACAATAAATGGGACCTCCTGAAACTGAAGTTTCTGTAATGCAAAGGACACGGTCAACAAGACAAATTGACAGCCTACAGAATGGGAAAATATCTACACTAACCCCACATCAGACAGAGGTCTGATCTCCAAAATATACAAAGAACTCAAGAAATTGGACACCAAAAGATCACATAACTTAATTTAAAAAAATGGAGTGCAGACCTAATCAGAGAACTCTCAACAGAGCAATCTAAAATGGCTAAAGACACTTAAGGAAATGTTCAGCATCCTTAGTCATCAGAGAAATGAAAATCAAAACAACTCTGAGATTTCATATTACACCTGTAAGAATGGCCAAGATCAAAAACACTGATGACAACTTATGCTGGAGAGGTTGTGGGGAAAAGGGAACACTTCTGCATTGCTGGTGGGAATGCAAGCTGGTACAACCCCTTTGGATGTCAGTGTGGTGATTTCTCAGAAAATTAGGAAATAACCTTCCTCAAGACCCAGTAATACCACTTTTGGGTATATATCCAAAGGATGCTCAATCGTGCCACAAGGACATGTGCTCAACTATGTTCATAGCAGCTTTGTTTGTCATAGCCAGAACCTGGAAACAACCTAAATGCCCCTCAACCGAAGAATGGATAAGGAAAATGTGGTACTTACACATGGAGTACTACACAGCAGGAAAAAAAAAGCATCTTGAATTTTGCAGAAAAATGGATGGAGCTAGAAAACATTATTTTGAGTGAGGTAACCCAGACCCAGAAAGACAATTATCACATGTACTCACTCATAGGTGGTTTTTAAACATAAAGCAAAGAAAGCCAGCCTACAAACCACAATCCCAGAGAACATGGAAGAAGTGGAGTGATGGTTCATTGATTAGGAGCATTTGCTGCTTGTTCCATGTCTTGAGTGATAGAATTTTAGAAGCATGCCACCAGACGTAGCTTTTAGATTGGTTTCTACTGGCGGAAGTGAGGACAGGAACCGTGCCCAGTAGAATTGGAGTTAGTAAATTATTAATCCTAGAGCCCAAGAGGTAAGGTAACCCTAGCTGTCTAGGTCTGAAGGTACAGGGAACACAACAAACTTGTGAGCCCTGTGTGTCAAGCAAAGAAGGGTTAAGGGACTAGATAAGGCACTACTACTTCCAACAGACTCCAGCAAGAGGGGGATACCGAAGACTTGTGGAGATTTAAGAACTCATAGAAATCAGAGGGTTCAGGAGTGTGCCTGGAGTAGCTTCTACAGGGTCAGGCTGGTAGATTTTAAGTTCTTAGATTGGTTTTGTGTGTGGCCAGTACATATGTGTACCACATGTACACACAGTGTCACAGAGGTCAGATACACTAGAACTGGAAATTTAGGGTGGTTGTAAGCCACACTGTGGGTGCTAGGAACTAAAACCAGGTCCTCTCCATGGGTAACAGGCACTCTTGCGTGAGTTGTGATTTTGACCAGGGACACCCATGGACAAGGTGGAGGCAGTTATGGAATGCAGATAGTCAGTCATGACCAGGGACACCATGGATGAGGAGGGAGGCAGTTATGGGATGGTCATGCCATGACGAGGGACACCATGGACAAGGAGGGAGGCCGTTATGGAACCATGGACAAGGAGGGAGGCAGTTATGGGATGCAGATGGACATGTCACGACCAGGGACACCATGGACGAGGAAGGAGGCAGTTATGGGATGGTCAAGTCATGACCAGGGACACCATGGACAAGGAGGGAGGCCGTTATGGAACCATGGACAAGGAGGGAGGCAGTTATGGGTGCAGATGGACATGTCACGACCAGGGACACCATGGACGAGGAAGGAGGCAGTTATGGGATGGTCAAGTCATGACCAGGGACACCATGGACAAGGAGGGAGGCCGTTATGGAACCATGGACAAGGAGGGAGGCAGTTATGGGTGCAGATGGACATGTCACGACCAGGGACACCATGGACGAGGAGGGAGGCAGTTATGGGTGCAGATGGACATGTCACGACCAGGGACACCATGGACAAGGAGGGAGGCAGTTACGGATGCAGATGGTCAAGTCTCTTCACATTTAATCCTCACAACCTTCCTGTGAGGTAGGTATCACTATCCCCTCTTACAGCCGAGGAAACAGATGCACACATGCCCAGCTGAATACAATCCAAATGCCTGAGCTCTCCTTACACCAGTGTGTCCCAGCCAGAGTGGTCAGCATTCTGTTAACAGTAGCAGAACTGCCAATGGGGACAGCACAGAAAATGAAAACCGAGTAACCCTGCTCCACCTGTACTTTGGCTCAAGGATATTTTGGGGGCACTCCTGGGATTTTTCATAAGAGGAAACAGCATACATTTAGGGTCAGCATATCTGCTCAGCCTTCAGCATACTCCCCAAGTGTTGAGGCCAGCTGCCTCATAGTTCCAAGGCCTTTCAAACGAAGCAGACACTCTGGCAGTCTCTGGCCAGCCCAAAAGGACTGGAGACCTGTTTTCTTCCGGTGGAATCCAGCCACAAACAGCGAGTCCAGTGGCCTGCTTTCTTCCTGTAGAATTCAGCTGTCTTTTGTTAATTTGGATATTACAAGTGACTGTTTATGGCTAGCCTCTAGAAAAATCCATTTTCCATAAGGAAAGAGCGCAAGGATAGAAGCAAGAGGCCATTACCAGTTTCCTTTTTCTGAGGTCAGACGACCCAGTGCAGCCTGACCTGGGGCTTCTGGTCCTCTCGCCACATACTTCTGGCTGCTGAGACTGCCACCATGAGCCACCATGCACAACTAGATTTTCTTTTTCAGTTGAAGCTCAGCAATATTGGGAATTACCTTTTATCTGTTATCTTTTTATTTGACACCTTCTGCTTCGAATGCCTCCCCCTCTTTTCATTTCATTAGAAGAAATCTAGAAATAAAGGTGGGGAAAGATTGGCCTAGAAATTCAGTGCAGAAAGGTCACTTGGACACAGACAAAGCACTCTGAGGGGACAGATTTGGAAACTGAGTTCTAAGTGCCAGAGGGAGAGAGAGGAGCCTTTAGCCCCAGCTTCAAGGTTCTCACGCCTGACCACCAGACTGCAGTCAACACTGAGATGCAGGGTCACATGCTCCCTGGGATGAAATGGGCAGTGAGGTGTTCAGATGAGAGCTCCCCACTGGCCTAAAATAAGACAGCAGTGGGGGGTTGGAAATGTATTAGGGTACCTGGGCCACTAGTATTGCAAGGAAGCTGTCTGCTCCTGGCCTGGGATTGTGCGCACCAATACAGAGAGCCATGCTCCCAGAGAGAGCGGAGAGACAGGTTCCACAGGTGTGGCCTGATTGCTGTGAGGCTGGGCTTTTCACTGTATGACGTTCTGAGGGTTCACACTGCACTCGCCCTTCTGGGGTCTATACAGCACCTGTCTGCAGTGTCCCAGAGAAAGAGCGGCCCTCCCC